TTTTTTCATTTATCATGGACTAAATCTAAAATGACGTCGTCCGTGTACCTTTTTGATGTTTTATGCTTTTTGAAGCCTTAAAATCGAAAATAAAGAATTTCAGGACGTAGCTCGAACAATTTAGAACACCATAGAAACGGAATATTACAGAGTCAGATGGGAAAATATAGAAAATTCTTTCCCGAACAATTACAAAAGTATGCTGGCTTCACCAGTGGATAACACGTGTCTTCAGAGTAAAAATTTAGTTGCAGCTAAACGGCACAGATGACGCCGTTGGTCCATTAGAGTATCAAATACCGTGAACCCACGGGATTTCGACAGTTTTACTTCGATTTCTTTATAATTATTCTACTGAAAAGATATAAGACGCGCTTCATTTTGTATAACTCTTAACGTAGAGTATAACAGACGTTAACATAAATATAAATGTCGATAACGTGACGCGCCAGCGTATATTACCACTGGAGTATTCAAAATTGCATTACCACCAAAAAGGGTATCGATGGATTTCAGTTTATTGACGTTAATTAAGTTGCTTAGTGCCTTTCATATCACCTTCAGGTTTAAAAATTGTAATTATATGAAACTAGCATGCCCCGTCGCGATTTTGCTCGCGATATGTGTAAGTAGAAATTCGTAAAAACACATTTTACCCCTTTTCACCTTCTTAGTAGTTGAATTTCGAAAAATCCCTTCTTACTGAGCATCTATGTTACAAAAAGAATACCTTCCAAATATCATGTTTGGGCTGGACAATGACAAATCAGTCAGTGAGAAAGTGGTATTTGACTTTTATATATACAAAGAACATAAAAGAGGTCGATTAAATAAAATAATCCAATTACGCGTTCATGATTTTCGTTGTTTATCTTTGGACTTTATGATCGGATCATGATGAAACTTACATGGGACCACCTTGAAAATACCCTCTTTAAAACAAAAAAAGAATTATTAAAATCGATGAACCTTGGGAAAAGTTATGTAACATACATAAAAATGTATGATTCGAATTAAGAATCTCCTTCTATTTCGAAGTCGGTTAAGAAGTATCCGAGTTTTCGTATACAGATCTTTTGACATTTGTAGATATACCGGAAATAATTCTCACAGATGCGATTGCAAATTGGTAAACAAAGAGGTTAGAAAATCTTATATTTATACATTAAAATTCCGAACAGAATTGTGCAGGAAATGTTTAAATATTGTATCTTGAAAAAACATCGATTGCATGTAAACTAGGTATATTTCGAACAAATATTTTTAACAGTGTATGTATCACACAACACTTAAACTATAGATCACCCTAAATGGCGCTACAATCGTTTTAAACTCTTAAGGAACTTTCATTACGTTTAAGCATACCGGAGTAACAGAGAAAAACGCAATACAAACGTAACGTATAAAAAAGAAATGATATATTTTTACGACTAATATTTGTTCTGCGCCTACGTGTTTAATGGAAGCGCAATAACAAGTACTTGCAGAACGTACTAGCTCTCCCGGTTCACAGTCTCAAGTTTCCATTACAGTAACACGCGTATATCCAGTTTTTGCACTCGTATTTCTCGACGAACTCTTCCACGACGTGGATTGCCTTGAACTTAGAAATCTTGCAGTAAGTATGACGAATGTAACTCACACAGCAAAATCACGACACGCGTGAGAATAACTGATACAACTTTCTTTGTAAATTTCTCGGAGAGAATTTCTCGGTCAAGCTGATTCATCAATCATCTACTTCTAAATTTTCCTTCTACCACGTACAGACTTAGGTTATTAGGCGCTGATTAATACGACTTTCTTATTTACGTTGTTTCTCATTTCATGCATAATACATTAAAGGATCTAATTCCATGCAGAGTACATTAAAATTGCATCAAACATTCATTAAATTCAACATTAGAATAATGCGAGCTGATAACATAAGCAAATAATCAGGGCCGTTCTGAATACAGATTCCTGCACTCTTCGAGAGCCTTCGACGGTTCTCGTCCATGCTAAGCAGCCGTCATCGAGCGCGAGTTGACGTCATCAGGCCCCTGCTTCTGGGAAATGGGACTATGGGCGTGATTTCGGGAAAATTTTACTTAGCATACCGAGAATTTCGGAACAAATTCTTCCAATTTGGCTAGGATTCCACGAATTCTGCAACGGATTTTGGATTTTTCCTTGCGCTCGAGATAGTTCAACCTAGCAGACAAATGGCGCCACCGGAAGAGAATTTGTAGGGTTGGCGGGTATATTCCCCCACTATTATTATTAGGAAAGCAATGATCCACACAGTTAGGTTGATAATTTAGTACTTTTAATATTACAAAAGTGAGGACGTGGGCCTCCGCACGAGCGCGAGAGCCAGGCACACGGTTGGACGCGGTTAATAGCGATCGTGCTCTGACGGTCTTTTCCGTCGGAGTGGTGGGATTAGAGTTCTAAATCCAGTAAGTTACGTCAGAAACGAAGAGAAATTCCCGGTAACTTATCGGTAATTTCTCCAAAGCCTTTTTTATCGAGAAATTATGAGAATTTGAATTTTTCAACAGATCGAACGAGAGGTTTCGATTAGCTATAGAGAAACATCGTAGAGGGGAATTTCCGTTGTACGTTCTCCGTAGCCAATCAAAACCTTCCATTCGCTTCGTCGCAGAATGAAATATTAGTTAATTTGAAACAAATCGCATGGAATTTTCCGTGAAGTTGTAGATACGTGAATATTTTTAGCTGGAGGTAAATACGACCCTTTAATCAATATTTTCTAATAGTAATTATTACTCTATAGTTTGAACTTTGAAGTTGATTGAAAAAAAAAAGTTATTTAAACGAAGAAACCTAAAGTATAAATAACAAAATTAACGTTTTCTTAAATTCTCAATGTTCCCGGTAACTTACGGGATGTTTGACAGTTACCTTCTCCAATTTAATGTTACCGAGAATTTTCGAACTCTAGGTGGGGTTGGTAATGCGCACGCGGGGTAACGCGGGTTGCACCGGACAGAACGCACCCCGCTCGTCGCGCCCCACGCCCCTGGTGGCCGATGGCCGGACTTCGTCTGGGGCCCGCCACAAATTCCTGTCAGTACTAATTCCTTGCGTACGCACACTTCACGAACCAACTCGAGCAACGTTTTCGCAACCCTCTCTCCCCTCGTCCCCTCGGGACGGTAACACATCCCTGGAACGTTTTAGAATGTTCAATGGGGCTGAATTTCCAGTTGCGCATTGCGCATGTGCTAAAAGTTTCTACAACATTCGACAGGGCCGAAATTTCAGTAGTGGCAACATTACGCATGCGCACAAAGATTCTCGAATACTCAGCTTCTCGTTACATTATGTTAATCCGGTCACAAAACAACTGAATTCAATTATTATACCCCAAATACAAACAATCCTTCCGCTCAGGTTCATTCGGATCTTCTATTAGCTAACGAATTAAAACATCGAATTTTTTAAACTATATAATTCATATTGTTAAAAAACTACCCAGATCCGTTACGATGTATGAGATACAAAAAGTATATCACTTCGGGATCATTAATACCTTTACTAAAGTATTAAAATACGGAATCTATACCATCAAAAATATATACAATTTTTTAAACATTTTTGGCGTGCCTCGTAATAATATATCAATAAATTACCTTACAGGTGTTGAAACTTTACTATGTCAATGTCACCAAATATTCGACTTTTTATCAGCGGGCACTTTATGATATATTCATATCATTGTTGGCCTCCTTCTTTCAATGTACTGTAAAAACATAAAGCCCATATTGCTTTCAGAAAATTATCGTTTTCGTCTTATTTTTAAAAGTTGCGGCGCGCCAATAATATTTAAAAAATTTGTTGTATTTTTTATGTCTACTTCTGTTTTAATACTTTAGTTTAGAAAAGGTATTAATCAACCAGAAACGATATACTTTTTGTATTTGATACATCGCAACGGATCTCGATAGCTTTTTTAACAATTTGAATCGTATAGCTTTATAATTTGTGTTTTAATTCTTTAGCTAATAAAAGATCCGAATGAACCTGAGAAGCAAGATTGTTTGTATTTGATGTATAATAATTGATATATCAGTTGTTATATGAATAACATAATGTAACCGAAATTATGATCAGAAAGAACTATTGACGGGTACATGTATATATTTGTCGAAGTTTTTTTTACACTTAAAGAAGGTGTTTTTGATTTCGAAATTAATATACATGTACGTTACGTATACTGTACATTTAGTGATGCCTGCGTTGTTTGACATGTTGTTTTCGTAATTATTTCTAGCATACTGTTTAAGGTGAAATGAAACACGTGAGGAACTTAATCGACGTCGATAAAGAAGATTTTTCTAAATGCCTACGTTGCCGACGTTCGTTTTTATATTGACAACTGTGTCAAATTATATTGGGTATTGTATCAAATGGCATACTCCACCTGTCATTTTCGTACAATAATTATAAAGAAATCGAAGTAAAACTCCAGAAATCTTCATGGTTTCTGGGGCCCTAATTGACTACAGAGGGACCCCCTGCGCCATCTGTGATTTCCAGGTCAATTAATTTTTCACTCCGAGATCTCGTATTAGCATCGTTTTGGCATAGAAGCGCATACAACACTTTTTTTGCCTCTATCTCGTTCAAATGCGAGTTTATCGATCACCAGAGTGTTCTAAATTGTCGTAAAATTATCTTGATCCTTTCGATTCTCATATCAGAGCCTTCGATAATTGTATATTGATCGAAATATGAGAGCTCGACGCCATTTTGGTTCTGGTCTGGGCTGTTAAAAAATTTGTTTGAAAAATACAAATTTTGAATGTATCAGGACATTTCTTAGATGATCAGGAGTGATGTGTCCAAGTTTCGGACAGTTTGGTCTAATGCCCTTAAAAAAAGTGTTGTATCAACTGATTTGAAGGGTGTTTCACTTCACCTTAAGCATTTTGTATCGCATTTCATTGGTATATGATAACAATGAGACATGATGTCATTTTGTGCATTTGCAGATCATGATCCTGAGCATCATTTCTTGCCCTACGCTGTGCTTTCTTGCAGCAGGTGTCGCAATAGGTGGGGCACTTCTTCTGTTGATAGCACTTCGATTGTACGTTTATCTGACATTGGGAGTCTGCAAAAGCACAGCGAAAATGAATGGAAAAACTGTAATTATAACTGGATGTACTTCCGGCATCGGTAAAGAAACCACCAAGGATATGGCTGAAAGAGGAGCCAGGGTGATTATGGCGTGTCGAAATTTGGAAACAGCAAATCAGTTGAAAGGTACATTTTGATTTTACAGTTAAGACAAAGAAATAACACGCTTCAGTATTAGATTGTGAATGGTCATTGAAAAGAACCATTAAAATTTGCATGACATTTCAAAATATTTCTTTTCTTATCTAGTTCAAGTTTATAAAGAAAAGAAAATAAACGGAATGAAAAATGTTAACAGTAAATTATTTCCTTGCGAGATTACACGCGTTAGGTTAATTTGGAGAAAATAAAAGAAATTTGCTATTAATAGGTGTTACTGATAGAGTTATTTGAAGTAAAAAATGTGCCACCTTTTAACATAAGTAATAATTTAAGATTACCTTAATACATGATAATTACCATGATATATGACAGTTGCCAGTATCCCATTATATGAATGCTACATGAAAAAAGAGTTTAGTTGCAATTTAGTGGCATAGTTAAAATACCGTGGGAAGTAAAACCACGTAAATGATGAAATTTACCACACGGAATGGTAAATGTAATCTTGCGAATAAGTACTGCATCCGTGGTGCTTCGCCTAAAAAGTGGAGGAGCGATCACCATTTGGAATGGTAATATTAACTACATGAAGTGGTTACAATACGCACAGGAAAATGGAAAGTTTATCTGGGAGCTGTAACTACGTATTATAGAAAGGTTATGCACGTTGCAAGGTTATTCTAAACTTGCCTATGTGATTGCAGAAACAATAATTTGGCATCGTTACTTTCGACAGCGCCGCCAGGTGGCAAAACTTCTCGCAGGCGATGTAGACAGTTCATATGCATATAAGACCCGTTACTGCCCTTTACGTTAAGGGATTACACCACTTTGACCCACCCAAAAATTACGGTTTTTCAAGAATTTTTTTTAAGAATTAAAACGTTGTTATCCAAATTAAAATACAGTAATGTATTATACTACTATTAAACAACAAAATATTTTGTTGTATTTTTTTTTATTTACAAAATTGGCGACATGAAAGGCGATTTACCGGAGCGCTGCGAAAATCGATGATCGTGCGGTGGGCACGATAACTCAGTCCAGGTTTAAGCTAGATCAATGAACGAAAAAGAATTAATTTCTGTAGCCCAAAAGCTAGGGAAATACCTAGCCGTTTTCAAAAATATGCATTTTTCACAAAATGACATCGACTTGAAAGGAAAGATACGTATTTTGCCCTAAATGTCGTTAATTAATGTTGCATAAAAAACGTGAATATCAATACATTGAAAAAATAATACGTATTTCGCTAGATAAATATATCACGAATAAAATAAAAAAAGAATCAAGACGATTGATTGAAAATTGGCGGAGCTAGAGTGCCCACCGATTTTTAAAATGCAGTTTTAAGAAAAACGCGTTTAAAGTATAAACGCCTACAAATTTTTTTGATTTTTGTAAAATTTCAAAGTGGTATAACCCCTTAAGTTACAATGACCCTACCCCTTCTCGAAGAGGGAAAAAGGAAGTAATCGTCGAGAAACCACATTTCTGAGCATCAAATGATATTGTATTACTTGAGTTATAAATGTATGAGAACACTGACAGAAGTATAGCGTTGTGATCATAATAATTGGATTTTTTATATCGACGGTAAATTTTTAAATGCATATTAATGTTAATGGATATGGATATGGATATGGATATGGATAGGGATAGGGATATGGATAATGGAAATGGATATTAAATTTTAAATGCACAATGCTGGAATATCTCGTTCCTTGTACTCAGGCCCCGCGAAACGTGGAATATCCGTAAATTAATCGTATATAAATGTTTATTCAACGTATGTAAGATATAGTTATCTATGAACTTTATTTTAGATAATTTCAAAGGCTAGATGAGATAAAAACTGATAAAATGGTTTTTTTACATTATTAACATGTTTTCTAAGAATATGAACCTCATTGCGAGTAAAAATTGTAAAAATTTAAGTGTTGACAGGTGTTTGATAAAAATATCTCGATTTTCACCATTTTTTTTCTTTTATTTTGCAGTAAAAAAACCTTTAAAATTATGATATCATCCCAAATGTTGGTTCATGTTGTTCGTAATTTCATTTAAGAAACACACATTTTTTTGATTCTCGGGAATTCTAGCTCAAAAAGTTATGAACCGATCGTTATGAAAATGAAAAGTATGTTTCTTAAAAATATCTAAAGGATGTATATATATTTTTTTAGGTGGATGATAGACGATGTACACTTGCTATACTTATACACCTAATTAAGACGTTTCATTTACGTATATTCTACTTCATGGGTTGTCTGGGTAGTTACGTTGACAAAATCGTGAAGTAATCCTTACTATGTTCTTTTTACTATGTTACGCTGGTTAATCCTTTGAGGCACGGAATTTTAGAAAATAAAAAGGCCCATGTTGCACAGAAATTTTATTTCTTTTTAAATGAACAAAGTTGATTTATTTTTATTAATAAAGGAATAACATAATATAAAAACATAATAATAATTCAATTAAGTTTGTTGTTTTACGGTAGGACTCAAATAGTCCCACTGTGCATATTCACACATTAAAACATTGTTGCATTAAAACATTGTCTTGCAATAGGGTTACGATTACCACAATTGTGGGTTTCCTAACCATTCTTTTTTTCCGCGTACATTATGAGAAATCTAAACTGCGAATCGAAGCAGAAATAGGAACAATAATAAAGAATTAATCATATTCAATCTTTTTGATAGTTATAAAGAAGTTTTTGATTTCCGTTTTATCATACTGGATACGTATAGAATATAAGTATACCATTAAAATGATAATCAGGAATTTTGAGAAACTCCGATATAAACACTTTAATATTACAGTTTAAAGGTTGCATAACGTTTGACTTTAAATTTCTTTATTAATTAAATAATCAACTTTTTTTTAAATTTATTAAAGAATACTTCCCTTGGATTTTTTATGCATATGGAATATTGTTAAGGTTTGTCAGAATCTTTAGAATTCCCAGAAAAACATGAAGTAATATTTTTGTACGAACGTATTTTTGTCGGGGTTTCTGATTATGCCAATTTTTGTTTACAGATGAGCTGGCCAAGTCTACAGGAAATAATAACATCATCGTCCGTAAATTGGACTTATCATCTCTGCAATCCGTTCGAGAATTCGCTCAGCAAATAAATCGCGAAGAGAGCAGGTTGGATGTACTGATTCATAATGCTGGAACAGCGGAATCCTTCACCAGGAAAGTAACTGCAGACGGTCTAGAAATGACAATGGCTACCAACCATTATGGGCCTTTCCTCTTGACTCATCTTTTGATCGGTACGTCCAGAATAAACATTGAGCCTACATATATATTTGAACACGACAACTTCAGCTGCATGCCCATTATTTTGCTTCCTTATTATACTCTTTTTCCGACGTTTAAAAAATTGATCCTAATACTTAACTTGATATTTAATCATTTATTAATATCTTATCAATAATAAGACTACTGAACATTTCCGACTTTGTTATAGAATGAGCAAAGAACCATTTACTATAGACATTATTCCTTAACTTCTTTTTTTTTATTTATGCACATGAAATAAGAGCAACAAATGCTACACGAAATAAATTTCCTTAACACGCATTTCATTTTCTCCATTTGTGGGCATCAATACTTAACTTTTCATTTCCTTCACTAGTTATAAGCACGGTCACTGTGACATTTTAGAAGGTGAAGTGAAACTCCCCTTAATTCCGTCGATTCCAACAATACACTTTTTTTTAAGGGCATTGGATAGGACAGTCGCAGTACATCGGAAACTTTGACACATGACTCGTAAGAACCTATAAATTATCCTGACACTTTCAAAATTTGGATTTTCGAAAGAAAGTTTTTACCTTAGCCCAGACCAGAACCAAAACGGCGTCGAGCGCTCATATTTCCATCGATATACAATTATTCAAGGCTCTGATATGAGATAAGAAAGTGTCAGGAGAATTGTACGACAATTAAAACACTCGGATAATCGACAAAATCGCATTTGAAGGGGATAAAGGCAAAAAAGTGTCTTGTGCGCTGCTATTCTAAAACGATGGTAACACGAGGTCTAGGAGTGAAAATTTTAGTTGATACGGAAATCACTGATGGCGCAGAGTATCCCTCTGCAGTCAATTAGGGTGAAGTGAAACACGTCGAGGAACTTGATCGACGTCAATAAAAAAGATTTTTCTAAATGTCTACGTTACCGACGTTCGTTTTTATATTGACAGCTGTGTCGAATTACATTGCGTATTGTACCAAATGGCATACTCCACCTGTCGTTTTCGTACAATAATTATAAAGAAATCGAAGTAAAACTCCAGAAATCCCCTGAATTCATGCTTTCTGGGGCCCTAATTGACTCCAGAGGGAACCTCTGCGCCATCTGTGATTTCCAGGTCAATTAAATTTTCACTCCGAGACCTCGTATTCCCATCGTTTTAGTATAGAAGCGCATACAACACTTTTTTTACCTTTATCTCGTTCAGCTGCGAGTTTATCGATTACCAGAGTGTTCTAAATTGTCGTAAAATTGTCCTGACCCCTTCGTTTCTTATATCAGGAGCCTTCGATAATTGCATATCGATCGAGATATGAGAGCTCGACGCCATTTTGGTTCTGGCCTGGGATAAGTTAAAGAATTTTTTCCAAAAATCCAAATTTTGAATGTATCAAGACAATTCTTAGATGATCAAAGTGATTCTTAGATGTGTCAAAGTTTCGGACAGTTTGGTCTAATACCCTTTAAAAAAAGTGTTGTATTCGAATCGACTGATTTGAAGGGGTTTCACATCACCTTAAGTTACGTAACTGTTAGGTTTGGTGTTCAGTGGGATTTTTTTTATTTATTATATATGTTTTCTTACAGATTTGCTAAAACGTTCGGCTCCTAGTCGTATCGTGGTCGTAGCGTCCGAATTGTATCGCTTCGCTTCCTTGAATTTGGAAAATGTTAACCCCACAACCAAATTCCCAGCCTATCTGTACTACGTCTCGAAATATGCGAACATAGTCTTTACGTTGGAATTGGCACGTCGTTTGGAAGGCACGGGTGTCACTGCTAATTGCCTGCATCCTGGAATGATCGACAGTGGAATATGGAGAAACGTACCTGCTCCTCTGTCCTGGGGCCTGATGTTAATCATAAAAGCTTTCTTCAAGACCCCCGAACAAGGTGCTCAGACTAGTATTCATCTTGCCATCTCGGAAGAACTGTCTGGCGTGTCAGGGAAATACTTCATGGACTGTCAAGTAAGAAACTATGATTTCAATATTCAAGAAATTTCAATGTTGGCAGTTGCGAATATAAGTATAAAATCTTCGGTTTAAACGAGGTTCAGATGATTTAATTATTCCTATAAACGATAAATAATTGTAGTGTTTCTTAAACCATCTCTGAAATTCTAGATTCAAATTCCTAAGTAATATTATTGATTACTTATCTAAACGTTTGATGCTTTTCAAAGATTTTGTTTTTCTCTGTCTTGGAGAGCGAAGGTTGGCAAAATTTACATAGACCTTTGTAATAAGAAGGAGTAAAAATTTGCCGACATATAAACTTACATTAAAATACTTCTCGACATTTTGCCTCACCACATATAAATATAATTATATTGACTATCGATTTTTATTTCAGGAACATGGACTTTCCCAAGCTGTGAAAGATCCCGCAAAAGGAAAAAAGTTTTGGGAACTCAGCGAAGGTCTGGTGAAATTGCAGCCTACGGACCCAAAGATATAAAGACTATCTTGACAGGATAGAATTTCGCAGAGATTACTTCTAAATCATACTCCTTGTTTTTACTATCAATTACTTTTGTTGGAAATAAATGGTTTTTATTTGATTTTTTACAAATCTGACATCATATACCGTGCTGAGAAACTGCTGGATAACATTAATCAGAAGTCAAGAGCACATTTTGCGGAGATTCAACGGTGGTACGTCGCAAGTATGCAACTTAGAATCCCAAGACTATTAGTGTTTCGTTGATTGCGATAGTGGCTTCAAAGGGAATAGTTTTTCCCATTCTTTCATTCTATCTTCGTAGAGGCCGGACTTGATTGTCAGGTTGTCGGTGATTTGCAGATACTTTTTATTACTTGGCGTGAATACTTCCCAAACGACATCTTTGAATGTTGGGTTGTCCTTCGGTATCGGTTCTCCAGTTTTCACGAAATTTGCCCACATGGCGGTCATGCGCTCAACGGTGGGTATTTCAGGTGAGCCTTCCTCGAAGTAAGGAAAGAAGCTCACGTAGAAGAGGTACAACATGTCGTCATGATGTACAACGCCTGCAAAGATATTATATCTGAACATCATTACGTCCATTTTGACGACACACGGCAAAACGGTATTCTGTTTTTAATTTCTGTGATTCATTTAAAAATCATGATTTAACTACAAAATAAATCAATAAATTACTGATTGACTGATTAATCTTCCAATTAATTAATTCATTAATGAATTGGAATTAATGCCTTGGACGATTCATTTATCATCAAGGATTTTTCAGAGCTTGATTGATTGTTGCTTTCAGCTACCCAAGCTTCTGAGAATTATTAATTAAAAATGCTTCTAAGCTTGTCATTAACATCTGATCTCATTACTTCTGTAGGTGAAATGTGATAGCTCAATATGATCCAATGAGCTTGTCTCTTTTTACCCTACAGGTGTTTTGTGGGGAATCCTTTATACGGGAGATTTCCAATTAATTGTAGGTCTAAAACTTACCGTATGGTTTCTTAGTGTCTGGCCACGTTGCAAAACTGTAGCGTCCTTGATAAGCGAATTGATAATAGTACACTGGTTCCTTGGAAGCCGCAGCTACGAGATTAACGAGACGGTGCTCCGGGAAAATAATTATGCTGTCGGCGTACATCTAATTTGAAAAATATGAGTATTAATAAAATCAAATACATTACAATGATAATATTTTTATGCAAAAATTGTATTATCTACTCACATGCGCGAGTCCATCGACGTTGTCTTTGCTGATTGGTTTTCCTTTGAAATAGAATTCTTTGAGCGCGTTGCTGATTTCTCGAGATCGATTGGTATTTCGCTCATATTGGAAACTTATTGGCGCAATTCGTTCCCAATTTTGATTTAGATCCTGGAAAGTCGAGTCATTGCCCTTCTTGGACTCTTCGAGCAGACCTGTTTTCATTGGCATATGAATTTTCATGATTATTTTTTATCACGTTCGTATCGCAAAAGAACAAGTTGCGTTACTTTGCCAAAGTTAATATTAATTACCGACGACAACGCCACCGAATTCGTCTTTGGTAACTCCTGTGATAAGAGGTACTTGATGGAAGTTTCCTTCTCGTATCAAGTCAGCCGGTTGAGCAGGGAGAAAACGTTCTCTGCCATGAACTTCAGGTTCAACAACGGGACTCCAGACCAAAATCGGATCACCGTGCCATTCCTAGAACAAAACATCCTTATTGTCATATAACATTCATCACTTATACAGAGGTACTAAAATTATGCTTTTATACTTTATTCCTCCGTTTCGTCAATTTAAGGGCGCTCCACTCTCTAGCAATTTTACAGGGTCTCACGAGGATAACAATGTTGAGTGTGTTTTTTAAGTTGATGTGAAAATCGCATGTAACCGATCTGTGAGGCCTCTATCGGGTTGTCCGAGTAGTCTCTCCGGTGCTACAATTTCGGTGGTATCGGAAGGCCAGCGCTCGCTCTTTTGACCCGCAACCTTCGTCCAGAGCGCATCGCGAAGGAGGACCTCATGAGCCAAGGATCCGGATTTTGAGCAACAATTGGGCAACGTGTTACCGCCTATCGACGACCAACCCTTCAACTTCCCCCGACATCCTATCGACCGATCTACACCGACTACATCGGACACTCAGGGTGGGGGCTAGTCGAATTTACCGTATATATATTATTGTATATCACTATATGTTATTTTACTCTTTATCTCAAATCGGATTATTTCTGATATATGTCGAGCCCAATGGTTGCAATAGAAGAATCAATGTATTAACGTAAAGAGAAAAAGAACGTTATATTACATTGACGTAAAAAACATATGTAGAAAAATGTAGTTGAAAATACTTACCGAAAATTTCCCTAGAGTTTCTACGTATTCGTCTATGGTCTTCGTGTTCAAGCAGAGCAACATGTTCCCAGTTGTATCAGTTGGGCATCCTAAGAGCTCAGCTTGCTTCTTCGCGAGATGTTTTTGTTCGGTGGGAAGAGGTTCAGGAGTCGTGGGTGATCCACTCATCGCAATAGCTCTGTGGAAAAGTCCTCTCGACATCGGGGAGACCATGTGGAGTATGACACTCCAACTACCGGCCGAATATCCGGAAATAGTAACGCTGTTAGAGTTGCCACCGAACGCTACGATATTTCTTTTAACCCATCGAAGAGCTTCGACTTGATCCTTCAAACCGAGATTGCCAGGTGCTAACGAATCCCCAGTGCTGATGAATCCTGAAATGACAACGATATTTATTCGATACGATCGAATATATAATTAAGCGGGATGGTACGATTCAAAAAAGCCCGGGTGACCGTGCTGCCACGTAACGGCAAGCAGTGGCAACACTTGCGTTCGATTGACCGTGCTTCAATTAATTATTACATGAAATTTATGCACCGTAGGAAAAAATAGTACAGGACTTTTCGATTCCTTGTTCAACAAGAATAGCGCTGTCTAAACCGTGACCACCATTTCTATTACACATTTCCGACAACCTAAATGTATCTTGTTAAAGAAATTTCTTGACTTCGGCAGAATTCCTCCTCCCTCTCCCCATACCACCGTTCAAAATAAAAATCTCAACTTCAGGGTTGCGACGAATATCTCCTACAAAAATCATTGTTTCTGTAAAAAATCACCTTCTTAAAAATTAATATTTCTAGCTTGCATGAAATTTCCACCAAAAATGTTTCTTTCAAAAATTACAATTTCTGCCGTACAATAAGTTTCTGCGAAAAAAAAAGAAATACTCGAATCATATTACAGAACCAAGTATGCAAGTCACTGAACTCTTTGAGAATCGTAATTAAACCACCGGTACGATAAGCTAAGGACACACATACGTGCCTTTGGTCCTTACAGGGTAAAGATTTTCTCTTCTAATCTAGAATATCTTCTTTCTGAATTATTCAACACTAGATTGTACACTTTGTAGATTCCCGATTCTTTGCGTTATTACATCAACAGCAATTATTTCTAATTTAATCAGAAAACTCGGTAACGTTTCGCGCCAAATATACACTTATATACGTTGCATATGTGTGCGCGAAATCATATGTATGCATAGAATACCACTAAGTTCAACGCCTCAAGTTGGGGCGTGTTAAACCCGTAAAAATTAATATCTCCGTATTTCAGACTTCCTTTTGCCCGGGACTAAGATACATAAGTAGACATAGTTTCCCCAATTGTTCTAATTTTTTAAAATTTTAATTAAAAAAACGAAATTACTTTCCGAACAACCCAATAGTTTCGAATGCCAGAGGCATTCTTTCCCTCGATACAATTCAACAAATATCAAGGTGGAGTCTTCTGTCCACTTTTGAGCCATTTCAACACAAAATTCAACACAAAATTGCTAAAAACTGCTTTAATTTGCTCTTTCAATTTGCCTGCCGCCCTAGAAAAACGCGTCTACACGTGTCTGGTATACAAAACAGTAGAGTGAAACACATGGTGGGGGTTGCAACTCGTGCCAGAAAATAGGATTGCGTTCTATTCCCTCGCCTCTCATTGGCACTTGGGCGAGACTTCACTCCAGTACTGAAATGGCAGTTTATATGAGACGAATTGGTTTTAGTGACTCGTACCAATTACTGGCATCGGGTAAATTCCCCTTTAGTTTACCCCGATCCCTCGGCATACCACCATTTACGTTGGCAATTTAATTAATCTACTCCAGCAGGACGTGGACCAACTGATCGATGTAAATTAAGCTAACTCAACGTACCCAATGTTGAAAGCCGGTAATTAACAGTGACAAGGATAATATCCTGATCGAGGAGGTATTGAGGTCCCTCGATGTAACTCTGGCCAGAAAATCCGTAAAATCCCCCAGGATGGAAGAATACCAATACCGATCGACCCATGTCTTTGTCTTCGGCAGGATTTTGCGATGGCAGCTGCAAAAGTGCTCCGGTTAAAAAATGGTATGAACCATGTTGTCGACATCATCATGCAATAACATTCTTCGGTAAAATGAATACGGGATTATTCATATTTAACGATGCTAATATTGTTAAAAATTATTATTTTGAATTACGCGTTTATATGCAATTTATAGGATATAAGTGTCATGCGTATACCTTTGTCGTGTATACGTTTAGTCGTAGGCAATCTTCTGATACGATTTCTCCTAGGTAGCGAGGACATGATGGTCCTTCTTCGGTGGCGTCGAAGACATCGCTCCAAGGTTTGACCGGAACAGCTTGCTGAAATTTTCACAATTAGTAGAACGGTATTAAAGATTCGATGCCTGTCCATCACGCGCGTTGAAGGTAAAACGTCTACTGGCTCGTGTCCACGTGCAAGTAACTTGCACCACTTCTTGCTAGAGCGACTTGCAGTTGAAGGTACACTGCCAATAAACTTGCAGCAAATTTCTTCCCGCAAGTCGCTCTAGCAAGTTCTTGCAAGACGACTTGCGAGAGTAATTTGCTTAGGCGTGTACACGGTAATCACAAACTTGCTTCAATTTTACTTGAGTGGGAGATATTCGAAATTGAAAGTGTCATACAACGAAACACCCAAAACACATTCGAACCCGCTCCGAACTTGCAGCAAGAATTTCGGGACCGATTCGAAATCTGTTTGCGCAACTTCAACTTATGCAAGCAGGCGTGTACATGAGCTTACGGGAGAGTGCAAATTGTTGCGCAAGTTCTTTTGCAAAACCGTGTACACGATGGCAAGAACTATCTGAGGGTAGCTCTCGCAAGTTTTACTTCTACGTGGACACGAGCCATAACAAGAAACATTCCTGAAGTGTTCCTCGCCGATTTTGTCTAATTTTTTATATTTTTTGAAAATACATATTCTAAGAGTCACGTATTGTTTTATACGTGCGGTAAAACGGTTCTAAGGGGTGAAACTACCCTCCAATATCGAGGATGCAAGGAAGTTTCACGCAGAAGAACTCTACACGGAGAAAAGTAAGAGCTTAAAAGTTAGAGATGCCAATCTATCGGAAACTTCTGCTCTCGATACAGTTAGAAGCTGTCTCATTAAACAATTAATTCAGCTAACTTAATTTTCTCAAATGTACAGTCGGCAGAAACATTTCTGTAAGAGCTATCTGTAAGTGCAGCTGGAAATTGCCATTAATATTGACAGGAATGAAACTGGGGTATTTGAAGCATTATAAAATTGTAGGAGCAACAAAAAATATCTGTTGATATTACAGATTTACTCTGTTCAGATTATCGCTTTCGGCGAATATTTATGTTCCGCTATTTCATTATGGTAGCAAAATATGTGATTTTGATTCTAAATATTTTTGAAACGTTTATAATGTATCCGGCAGATTATAATTAAAAATTATTTATACTAAAACGAAAAGAAATATTTTGTATATCTATAAGACAAATATTACGAAAAGACATGGAGCGAATATTATACAAATATTATAAAAGTAATATTCTAAAGTAAATTTTTCGCAAATATTTCAAATGTTTGCTAAATATTTGCAAACAGTACGATGATCGTTAAATATATAGAACATATAAGACAAATATTTTTTGCTACTAGAGTTACCGTAAGTCCCGGGTTCGATTCTCGGCAACCCTGACAAATTTTTTAGATTTTAAGGTGAAGTGAAACACGTCGAGGAACTTGATCGATGTCGATAAAGAAGATTTTTCTAAATGCCTACGTTGCCGACGTTCGTATTTATATCGACAGCTGGGTCGAATTATATTGGATATTGTGCCAAATGGCATACTCCACCTGTCGTTTTCGTACAATAAATATCAAGAAATCGAAGTGAAACACTAGAAATCCTCTGGATTCATGCTTTCTGGGGCCCTAATTGACTGCAGAGGGACCCCCTGCGCCATCTGTGATTTCCAGATCAATTAAATTTTCACTCCGAGATCTCGTATTCCCATCGTTTTAGCATAGAAGCGCATACAACACTTTTCCTGCCCTTATCCCGTTCAAATGTGAGTATATCGACTATCAAAGTGTTCTAAATTGTCGTAAAATTGTCCCGACCATTTCGTTTTTCATATCGGAGCCTTCGATAATTGTATATCGATCGAAATATGAGAGCTCGACGCCATTTTGGTTCTGGTCTGGGTTGAGTTAAAAAATTTTGTTCAAAAATCCGAATTTTGAACGTGTCAGGACAATTCTTAGATGATCAGGAGTAATGTGTCAAAGTTTCGGACAGTTTGGTCTAATACCCTTAAAATAAAGTGTTGTATTCGAATCGACTGATTTGAGAGGGGTTTCACTTCACCTTAAAACAGAGCATATCTGCAAATCCTTACTGACGATCTTTCGGACAGACTCGGAACGAAGCGTGAAATTTGTTAATTATCTCGGTCCGAAGAAAAAACTGATATTTGTAGCAACAACACGAGAAAAATTAATAATATATATTCATGTACAATCATATCTAATTCCTCAGATGTGAGCATAAGGCAAAGTATGGATAGATGCCACGTTTCCCAGATATTTTTTATATTAAAAGAACTTTCAGCAACTTGACGTCACTGCTCGCATAGCCCCTCTCCCCGACACTTCACTTACAACACAACATTCCCAAAGTGTGCACGCGCGTAATGTTATGATCGCCTAAAGAAATCAGTGCATCAGGTTTGCTTGTAGTTTTTCTCAACTCGAATCAACTGTTGTAGAGGTAAAAGTAAAAGAAAACTGACACGTAAGGTGACATATTTACCTCATTTCTACTTCATAAATATATCAAATAAAGACCTCCAACGGTTTCCTAACCTCTCTTTGTAACGTTTATTTTTATATGTACGAAGGTGTCTATCCGCACCTAGGATGAATACTCTAGTTTAAGGTCCGGATAGTTGCCTATAAAGGAGAGATGCCTAACCTATAACATTTTTGTGCGGATGCAGGGAATTTCTTATAGAAAGTGGTTCCACGAGGATTGCACAGATTACGGGGATTATTGCATTATATGTCACGTATATGTGGAATATTCGACTGAAGTCTCATAAGCTACAAGGTGATATTTTCAAAGTTTTTTGGGTTGTCTTAGAATTACTTCTTGTTATCTAAACTAGGAAATAAATGATTGTTCTAACGTAAATACCCCCCTCCCTCAATTTACGCGAGTCTCTTTTTACGAGGTAAATTATAACACAATTTACGCGGTTTATGAACGTCATTATTTTTTTCGTTAAGCAATTTGAAATAAATATGTATTTCTAAATCTTATATGTCCTAGCTTTCATTTCCAATATTTTTTCTTTTGTTCTGACAAACTTTATTTATCGCTTTTTTATTCGCGTAAAACGTGGAACGGATACTTCGTGGAAATTGAGGGACGCCTGTGCCTATGTTAACCATTAAAAACTGTTTCTGTTCATTTTTATAAGTTTAAAGATAACTTGAAAACTTTCTTCGTTAACTTTGCTATTATAACAACCATTGATACTAGGCAAATAATTGTAGAATATAATGAAGATAAAATATGGCGGTATGATATGAACATGGAATTGTTCGGAAACGGAAGCAAATAACGACTTTAGAACTATACGGTGAAAACGTAGGCGTCTATCCGTACTTTACTATGCGAAAAATGTCGTGATTTAATCAGATCTGATCATACATATACAAACATACATGATCATTTGTGATCATACTACTATTAGGGCGCGCCATTTTTCGGACCTAATTACATCTGACGAATCATATATGAATATATATATAATTATTTTTTCTCGCGTAAGTAAAAACAGAGGAACATGATAACTATAATAAACGCCCAGGATTACAAAAGTCAATTTTTTTTATGTATAAGTACTCATGTTGCCTCGTAAATTAGTTGCGGTTACCACAGTTGTGGTTTTCCCTTTCCTGCACTTTCTTCGTGAATCAATGTTTAAACAATGTTCACACTACATGACTATAACAGTAGTTTATTTAATAAACAACAATTGACACAACATTAACGTTGAATTTATCGTGGAAAGGGCGAACATTAAGACATACAAAACACGTTTCCTTGTAGTATGCTTCCTTCATACGACTACAGTCAACGATTTTGCACTATTTATAACATGTATTCCACTATTTTTTGTTTATTAGGAAATCGCGTATTTCTTAAACCGATGATATAACGTTTTTATTCTAGTTAGAAAGTTCTTTTATCCGCGCGACATTTTATCCTTGATTCAACGTAGTATTTTTTCCTTTACACAACGTTTGGTTAATTGTCTGTTTTCAACGTTTTTATAACATATATGTACTGCTTGGGTACTGTTTAATTAGTTTTAGCGACAGAAGCAAAGTGTATTATTTCTTTCCTCGCCAAGGACTCTTTGATGGACTTCACAGTTATAGGAACAATGCAGAATAAATTAGTTTGATAGTTGTCGTTAACTCACTTATTGTACTTTTGTTAATTACTAATCCAATGACTTCTGTAAAACGTAGAAGGTGCGACCAATTCATGAACTGAATTGCATTCACACCTGACACACCTAGCAAGAGGCGAAGGTCAAGCTCTTTTATCACGAGGCTCATGTATGTATACGTCTCTTGTCGGAGTACTTGTGCGTATGAATCATCCGAAGTTTCTGTAATAATAACTCGAGTACCAGTCAGTTGAGACGGAAAGAGTCGTTTAGATTCGTTTTGACGAATTACCGTTCATATGCGATGTCTGTCATATGACCTGTACGAAGGTTCCTTAAGATTTCGTTTCTTCCCGAGGCATTTAATGCTTCTGACGAACATAATTGTGAGATGTTAATTTTATTTCCTACATATTCACTCTATATTGTTATTAATTACATATAGTCTACGAAGGATAACGCGAGCCACGATTTCTGCATTGACACCGCGTGGTTTTATTAATTAATTCTTTTAAACGAGCTCAGTCTTGTTTATATTCAATCTCCAAATATGTTGCTTTAAGTGTTTCACTATTTCACCTGAGATAGATTATCACAGGGTTTCGTTATCATAATAATTGCAAATCAACAAGTACTAGTTCAAAAATATACTATGAGAAAAAATGTTGTTCCGTGAATGACAATTCAGTTGACAACACGTAATAGTGTCGTCTTTTATCACTAAACTAAAATATCAATTATTTCGATAAACAGAATCGTATTGCCTTTTACTTGGCTTAACTTCACTTCGCATTAATAAAAATATACTTTATTTAAATTAGTTGTTACCTAATAGTTTAATAAAATTATTTTCCTAGGGATCAAACTCGTACGATATAGAATTTATTGCCAAAACAGTACCCACCAAACACGGTCACGTAACAATAATATAACCGTTACATAACGTTTGTAACATGTAGTGTAACATACATATAACATGTAAATAAGATTTGTATTACTATTTCCTCCGCAGCTATATAATACTGTTATAAAACGAATAATGTAACGTGTTATACGTTATGCTAATATTGTATAACTGCAAAGCTTACAAGTTTGTAACAATGATTCCGAACGGTAACAATTCGACGTTATATGATATCAATGTCTCTTTTAAATAACATTCGTTACATATCATGTTATTCCAGTATTATGTAATTGTAACATAGTGTGTTCGGTGGGTATGCAACATTACCGATAACAAGAAACGTGATACGTCTATCAACCAAACCATAATACAGATAGCTACATTTAACAGTTTTCCTTCGTAGGAATAATAAACGTACGCATCCATAGGTAGTCATTTACATGAATACAAAACGTCTATTTATACAATCTATCGTAAATGATATGAAAAAAGCAAGTACCGATAACTCACCTGAAATCGTTGTTGCCCAACAGGTGGTTCTGCATATCTGATGCCGCGGAAGGAATATATTTTCTTCCCGAGTCTCGTAGTCAGAAAGGATCCACGAACGGATCCCAATGGTGTCCTGACCTCGAAGGTGTTCTCCGTGTCATTGCTCCCGGTGACGGCGGAGACGGCGGAGACGGCGGAGACGGCGGAGACGACGCAGAGCAAGATGGCAACGAGAGTCCTCATCTTTGCACAAGATAACGCATACGGCGCGGCAACGACAAAGCGTTCTTTCTCGTCTCTTATGCAAGATCGGGTAAATCCGACGATTGCGAAACGATCGGTCCGGCGTTCGGTTAAATACTGGAGGTCTCGCGAGCTCGATCGAAAGAATTTATACTCCCAAGAAGAGGAAGAAGCGTGAGAAACGCAATTGTCTTCTGGGAACAATGGTGGCGGTTTACCGTGCGCGGCAGTCCGAGGTTGCCGAAGATTTTACAAGTTATTCTTCCAGAATGAGCGCACGCCTCCGCGATTTCGTATCGGACACTAGTAGATCGTATTTCATTGGAACGTTCCGACGATGGCTCACCCGGTTCTGACTTTCCTTAAGGAATTATTATTTCTCGCGCGTATACGACTAGATTAGCTTGGTTCGCCAATGACGCACTCGGGTACACATTGGACGAGTTGGTGGTTTGCCCCGGACGGTGTGTAAAGTCAATTCTAGATTACTTCTCGATATCTTCCAAACATATGTTAACCTCACGTTCTACCACTGACATTCACTTTTAAGACTTCTGCCCTGTAAAACAAAAATATTTTTACTTTATATGATTTCCGAAGTTCTATTCAGATTTCACATACTAATTTCATAACATTTTATTTATGTATTTATATATATAATATACATTTAATGCGCAAGTGTTACACGATTGCACTAACCTCCTGCTTTATGTTATAAAATTATAAATTATTTAGAAATGTATAGTGATTCACTTTTAGGGCATCAAATTGTAATTTTACTACAACCTAATGAACTAAACGGGTTCTCTCGTGAATATTTTTAACGGTGTATAAATAATAAGTGTTGATAAGGATAAAGAGACTGTTTGTATATACATGACATACATATATGTACATCTTTACAGAATAGTACTTGTCAGGTCCAATTCAGAGACCCGACAGAACATATGGAGACTTTTAGCCCTTACGAGGACTGTCCCCATAAGTTTGTAGATGCATTGTCACGTTTCAGGACAGATCCTTACATTTCCTTTAATATGCATCAGAATTTATCAGAACCATCCAATTATTTTTATTTTCACGTACTTACTAGACCGTTGAAATTTCGACCACAAAGCCAAAAGTTAACTATGGCAGTACCTTACGCACTATTATTTTAGATTAATTGCGAATAATTGTTGTGATTCATTTGTTCATCAATTATTTATAAAGGATTTCGGGAAAAATACGAATACTATTAAACATAAATCCAATTTAATTCAAATTAATTCTCCTTTAACACATGGAATATAATCTTCCCTGAAGAAATATGAATAAACTTGAAATACCTTTGCTCTTATGCAACATCATGCTGTGAAACGTTAATCAAATTTAATGAAAACGTACGTTGTAATCTAGTTTACATATTCCCGCATAAATTGATAACTCTTGATTTGGTGAAGTGAAAGCAGGAAAACCGATATTTGATTAAATTCGTCTCATATCAGATACGGTAAAATTCGGTACAAAGCATTTCTCGCATCAGACGTGATCGAGTAAAATTTTAGGAAACATGGTTTTTTTTCTGCATCGACAAATGACGATTTTACAAAATCGAAATGAGTGTAACAACTAATTGGCGTACGGACAATTACGGGGACAGGCATTTCTATGTTAGATACCTATGGAGACCGCATAGATTACTTTGCATTCATACTTATGAATAATTTAAGTAACAGTAAGCTATAGTTCAGTATTTTTGCAAGTAAGTTAGAGAGTGGCAGTATATAATATAATATAATATACATACAATATAACATATACATATACATATCATTTGCAAATAAACGCATAAGAATTAAGGTTTGGTACCCATAAATACGTATACTTCGAAATGGTCGATTTAATATATAGGTACATATGGGGACTAGCCATTCTACTATACAGACACTTTTAGGAATCACATAAATTACATTGCATACTTATTGGTGGATAATTTGATATAGGCCTGTAGTTCAGTATCCTTGCAAGTAAGGTCGAAGGTGGCAGTAGCTAAATACATATATTATTTGTGAACAAATGCGACAAAATTATGGCCGGAACCCAAAAGTACGTACACATCATATTTCGTCGAGCTCTCGTATTTCGATAAATATACAATTATTGTAGGCTCTAATATGAGAAACGAAAGTGTTAGGACAATTATACTACAATTTAGAACACTGATAATCAATAAATTCGGATTTGAACGGGATAAAGGCAAGAAAGTGTCTTATGCGCTTCTATGCAAAACGATGGTAACGCGAGATCTCGGGGTGAGAATGTAATTCACACGGAAATCACAGATGGCGCAGGGTGGCACTTTGCAATCAGTTAGGATATCAGAAACCATGAATTTAGGGGATTTCTGGAGTGTTCCTTCGATTTCTTTATAATTATTGTATGAAAACGACAGATGAAGTATGTTATTTAGTACAACACTCAATGTAATTCTACATCACTGTCGATATAAAAACTAACGTCAGTAACGTAGGTATTTTGAAAAATTTTCTTTACCGACGTCGATCAAGTTTCTCCACGTATTTCACTTCACCTTAATATACGGATACTTATGCGGACCAATCATTTCAATATACATCCCACACGGACAACTAGATATGGTATACTGATATCTGGCTAAAACATTCAGATGTCTAATAGATGTATACAAAAGTATACGGAATGTGCTGGGGCATGTACAAATGTCCGCGCCGTCAAAGTATAGTATATGTATTTGTGAACATTCCACTTTCATTTAATATACATACTATTCACGTATAATATTATACGTATTTTATACATATATAAGACGTATTCTAAATGTAGGTGGAATAATTTAAAAAAAGTATTATGTATTTTGCACTAAATGCATTTTTTTTAGGAACAATTTACCACGATCTGTTCAGGGACCCGAAATCTTCGAGATATACAAACATCTGACATTGAAAAAATCCCCACGGTGGTGACCGGGGATTCGAACCCGAATCATTTTGGTAACAGACTATAGTAGTGCTGACCACTAGGCTACCGTAGTCCTATGGATGATGCGACACGTTTCGTATATTAAAACACCACAGTAATAAGTTTAATTATAATTTGGTTTAATCAATATCATTTATATTGCCAATCTCTGACCAAAAATAAGGACATATATATATATATATCTTATATATACCGGATGGCCCACGCAACGTGTGCACCGTTATAACTTCCAAAGTATACGTCGCACGAAAAAATGTTATATACAAAAGTTACATGGTTTAAAATGGTGCACTACGTAGTGCATCAATTTTTTTTATAGGTCGAGGCGTTTCAAAGATTTAAAGGACAACTTTGTTTTTTTAAACAGAACACTATATTTTTTATAGCAAAATATGGTAGAGTATTGAATTCTGGGTAAAAATTGTTGACCTTTATTAGCCCTAAACCTAATAGCTAACGAGTAATTTCACTTTATTACTTGAAAATTTTCTTCACGTAATATCAAGTTGAAGATTCAACCTTATCACAGATTTCCGCAGGACAACGATGTTTACGTGGCAGTGAGTGACTAGTGGCTTATCGCAACTAACGTAAGTGTTCAAAGTGATATCCATTGGCATCAATACAGTGATACAATTTATTAAGTAATGAAGAAACTGCATTCTGAATCATATTCGGACTGAATGTAATGCATGCTTCGCGAATACGATGTTTCATATTCTCAGGTGTCGTTGGTGGTTCCCGATACACTGCATCTTTTAATGTGCCCCACAGAAAATAGTCTAAAGGAGTAAGGTCTGGTGAGCGTGAAGGCCACAGAAATTGTCCACCACGACCAATCCATCGATTGTGAAATTTTATATCCAGTACTTGCCTTACATACATGCGTAATGTGTAGGACAACCATCATACAGGTACCAGATTTGTACACGGATATTTAATGGTACATTTTCCAATACAGATGGTAAAGTGTTATTCAAAAAGTTAGCATATTTCTGTCCTGTTAGTCGAACATTAATAAAATATGGCCTAATCAATTGGTTGCCCAGTATTCCACACCACACATTAACGCTCCATTGACGTTGGTGGTCGATTTATCTCATCCAGTGAGGATTTTCTGGTGCCCAATAGTGCGTATTTTTCAAATTAATTTACCTGCGATTAGTAAACGTTGCTTCATCAGTGAACAACACTTTTTGTAAAAAAAAAAAAATTATCATTGTTCATTTCATGCAGGAACTACTGACAGAACTGAACGCGGTTTTCATACCATGGAATTCCTGATTCATTCCACGGAGCTCCTGATGAAGTGCTAGGTGATAGGGATGATGTTTTTCGTTATGAAGAATTCGTAGTACACTTATTTTGCTAATTTCAAATCCTCGTTAAATCTGCCGCATACTAATATGAGGGTTTTCTGTTATCGCTGCTAGGACCGCAATAGTATTTCCACCAGAAGTAGCAGTTTCCGTTACGTTACCTTTAGTAACATTAAAACTTTTAGTTCGTCGAAGCGATTCACACATTCTCTCAAATATGGCTCGAGATGGCTGATTTCGTTCAAGATACCTTTCGGCATACATAGCTTTGGCTCTGATTGCATTTTTATGACACTCACCATAAACTAAAAGCATATCAACTTTTTTGCTATTCTCGTGAGAAACGGCAGCTATTGCCTCGTTTCCTCGAGCTTTTAAATCCACTTGCCAGGGGGAGCCGCGCAATACCGTCACGCTTAGCGAGGGTATCGCGAATTGAGGATGTTTTCCTGGAGGAGCAGCACTGGGCTACCACGTCCAGAGGTTCCTTCGATCAGAAAGGACCTCGATGAGAGAAAATCCACGCCTTTTATACCCGCGGAATCCATGGGCCCTATTACTACATCGTCGGGTTCCCACTCTGGCCCGCGTTCTATGACGTACTATTGGACACGATGGTTACCCTTAGACGAATTCGTAATTTCTCGCCCTTTGATCACCGGGGTCAAGGCCGTGGTCATTTCCCCCAATCGGGATGATTTATGTTACCGTTTGATTTGATTTGATCGAGTTTCCATCTCGCGACCTCGTGACTTTGCCCATGTTGTACCTTGTATCACGTGGAACAAAATGTACAATTTGGCAATAATATCTGATTTGAGTATTTAATAAAATGACAGTGCTAACATATTTGGCAAAAATAGTTGATTATCATTTTTTATTAAAATAAAAAACGGTTTGAATTATTTTTGCAATTCAAGAAAGAAAGAAGAATGAATTTGGCGAAGTTTTTTTACACCTAAGGTGTCTTTTGAGATTTTATTTACGCGTGCTTCTTTTTTCTTCAAATCAAAGAGGGATAATTACGAATAATATTTTCTGG